TGGCAGGAATGCAAGAGATGAAATGTGGGCAACGTTGATTGACACAGGTGTAACGTGACACTGAAAAGATGCTTGCTAGCTACTGTGTGGGAGAGTGATTTAAAACAGAAGAGTTTGGCTCAGCCAGGAAATGATTGAGTAGGTTAAGGGTCAGGCATGCCTTGGGTTAGGTACAAAGCAGAAAAGTTCTCTGCTTCCCACCACTGCTTTACATGCGCTGTCTTAAATCAATGCAGGAGAGAATGTGATGCTCTCACTACTAAGCATCTCTTCTTGTGGCTTTTAGCAACAGTGGGGAAGGACTGATCTCTGCGCAAATTTGTATAGTCATTAGATGAAAGATGATCTACCAATGTTACTTATTTCCTTAAAATACTGGAGAGCATTAAAAGGGAGGGAACTAATGTGTCTTTATTATTTGTCACAGGACACTGAGGAGACAATAAGGTCCGTGAATTATAGATAAGAGGTGATAAATAATAAATATCACTAAAGCATAAATACAGAGAGAATGGTCTTTATTTGATGAGATTTTCTTTTAACCAAAGCTAGTGCCAAGGTATTTGTCAGACAATATTTTGTACTCTTGGAAAATCCAATTGGGTAGTGAGCAGCTTCTCTCTCTCTCTCTCTCTCTTTCACACCCACACCACTACTGAATAGACAAATCCCAAGAGGAACTGTATGTATGTATCAGAGGAAGTTATTGCAAGGAACCCGAAGCTTTGCTTCCCAATAGTGATATGTAAGGGTTTTGCCAAATTTTGCTGACACTTTGCCGATTTCCACCCGGACACTGCTTGCGGCTGCAGTATTCTATATATGTCCGGGAAATTCCAGATGTATGGCAACCCCATGATATGTTTGGGAGAAACAAGCCACGAATGCCAATTTGAATACCGTGGTTAATGGCCAGTGTTATAGCCAAATGCCGTCAATTATTCAACATGCATGTTTACGTGGAAGTAAATGCTACTGTGGGTGGGGGTGGGTGGGGGTTATTTCCTAGTACACTTAGTCAGGATTGCAGCCTGGAAATAGCCATTTTAATCCAACTAGAAAAGTTGCTTTCTATCACTTACTCACTGATTGAGAGGCAAACCAGTTTGTTGCCACAGCCAAAGAAATAGCAATATGTATTAAGGCTCATGGCCTTGACTTTGCAAAATGGCTTTGCAGATAGAAGCAAGTTGCCTCCTGCGGCCCCGGTAGGACGAGAAGCAGGGGAAACAATCCTTTCAAAAACAATCACACACACATTTTCCAAGCCTAGTAATTGTCCTTATGTTTTCTACATCCAAGCTCCCAACTGCTCTCCTTTTTTGCCAAGCTCATATCAGCTTGTCCAGAAATGCCATTTATACAAATTGCTCTGCCTGTAATTCTCCAGTCTACTTGCAGTTGAAGTTAACTGCTGATTTCATCCAGGAGACAAAGCAGTAGTAAAAGAACAGAGCAGATTGTCGTCAGCACCAATACGAGTCTTTCTTCCCTCAGTGAGCTACAACATCATGGAGCTTACAGTTATTGAAGGCCGCGAGGAAGCAACGGTTTGTAGGGAAATAGGACGTTTTCCAGATTTGCCACGGTGACCTAACTATTAGCAAATAAATTCTACAAAGCCACACATACAAAAGCTGTGTGAATGCCGTGGTAAGCAGTCTATAAACCACCAAGGCCCCAGATCAGTCATCCATTTTGCCAGAGAGGCCATTGTGAAAAGGGAGTAAGAGATGTTGGGCCAAAGCCACAAGTGGCCTACTGACTAGGCTTCTTGCCACATATGTTGTCCCTCCCACGTGCCTCTTTTTACCTCTGAGCTGGCAACTTGTGGGATGCTTCTGTCACATCTATCCGATTTGACCCAATGGCCTCCAACTGCTCAGCCTCTTCAGATTAGCACTTTTTGCCTGCTTGTGTGTGTAAAAGTCTGTGTTGCAAGCAGCCTACTCACAGGAGCAATTTAATGTCTCATGGAACTCTTGCTGGAAACTAATCTGCAGACCTGTAGCTAAAATAATTACCATATGATTTTCATGAAGAAGAATGTGATGCCAACCCACAGCAATTATGCTGAACTTCTGCCACAACATTCCACAACCATTCTCTTAAGCAAGACTGCCGGGGGTGGAGAAGGTGGAATTGAATCAGTCCTTGAATGGAAATTATATTGAAGCATCTGTTTCGAAAACATGGTCGATGTAGGGTTGCCAAATTACCTGAGTGGAAAGACGGCTTGGTCTCCTCTTGTTTCTTTAATAGCAACCTCAAATGCAGGAATTAACAGAAGAATTTTCTCATATGATGGCATCAGCATATCATCAAATGGCTGGTTCAGAAGGTGACAATTCTACTGGTGACTATTTAGGAGTTTCTTTGCCTTTCTTTAAGCATTGGTCTTCCAAGAGGAGCAGTACCATCTCACAAACATAAGGTAAAAAGAATGAAAAAGTGGGTTCCCAAATGCAGGTTTGGGCTAAAGGTGGACCCCAAGCCTAAGAGAATGCAGTTAGCGGTGCTGCTAGCATTACATTGTCACCTAGTGACTGCAATGTAGACGAAGAGCAAGGTGAAAAAGCACTGACATTGTCTGCTAAATGAATCTGTACCCCAAGAGGAGAAAGACAACTATATTGATTGTTTTTGTACAAGTTCTTCAAGGCCCTCAGCCTAGATGAACCTGCAAAATCAATATATGTGGTTGCCTTCCTGCTCTGGAAATCTTATTCACAACAGGAGCCTTTCCTAAAGGATTAACAGTTTTGGGGTATAAGCCTTGTGATACAGTCAAAGTTCCCTCTGTGGAGGTTGTATGGAATACCATCTTCTAACTTTTACAGTAGCAATTAAATCTATTCTGTAAGACGAATAAGACATCAGAGATGGAGGCTTTAAGAAAACTTTGTTTTCAAATGGCAGGAATTCACATCTGAGAGGTGAGAATTAGATTAGACTAATTCACAGGAAACAAAACAGGTGCTAGCAAGCTACTGAATCCTGAGTTGCTGCATCCATCTTTGTAAAAAAAGAGACTTCAAAGTCCTCAATATTATGCTGTGTGAAGTAATTTAAGTAAAGACAATTTAAATCACCAAGAAAAGAAAGCACCTTGAATTAAGTAATTGATTTAAATGTTATTAATGCCTTAAACAAAACCGCTTACTAATTGCTCAACATAATCCTGCCTAATTTTCAAAAGAAATTCAAGGCAGCTAACAAATTCAAACATCACTCAGTATTAAAATACATCTCAGCACCCATTCCTAGCCCAAACCATAAGACCAGAACTAAACTACAACAATAATTTCCAAGGCAGGCATCAAAACTAAAATAACAGAAACAAATCAGTCCTCCTCCTAAGCATGTTATCCCTCCACACTTTCTACAATCTATCATCTCTTGATAAATTTCCTGCTGCTTCAGTTGTTCATCTTCAGCAAATGCATTGACATGATGCATATTGTTTCTTCCAGATCTCTCTCGTGATAAGGTAGACTCAAGTCCATGCAAGCTTATGTCATAATAAATGTGTTAGTTGTTTTTGCTGAAACAGACTCAGAGGGCCCCCTTCTAGAAATTGTTATAACAATTTAGCTTCACCATAAGTACCGCTTTTACATAGTGTTTGAATGTAACTGTAAGCAACAGGGTGGATAAATATGTGGCCACACAGTGTGATGTATTCTGCCTAGGAAATGGGTGAGGGGAACATTGACTAAATAGGCCTCAAGTCACTGCCAGTTTTACAGTTCAGCGACCCTGTGATCACACTGCTTCTGACAACCGATTCCTATTCAGCAAGATGCTGTATGAAGAGGACTTGCATTATCCCTCTCTTGAACTATGGGAAATCTCTGGAGTCTTGAAAAGGAGGAATCAGTGGTACAGTGTTGCTTTCCTTCCCTTAACTCATAAATAGCTAGGGAAGATGTGTCCCTTTTTGGCAAAAGCTACCAGAACATCCAGTCAACCTACATCCACAAGATACTTTCATAAACCATGGGTTTAATTATATAATTGCTGCTGCTTCATTCAGCAATAGCTGCTCATAGACCCTAGAAATGCAGGTTGTCTCATTGCCATCAAAGCAGGCAAAGGTGTGACACATGACTCTATGGGCCATCAGAGATTGCAACATCAAGGCAGCTAAATTCATCTCAAGTCAGGTAATTTCTAACGAAGATTAAACCTGGAGGGCTGAAATAGCTAGACAGCTGATCCTATTGGCTTTAAATATTTATTTTCATTTATAAAACATTATGTCTCTAATTAAAGAAAAAATAAAGCAAATGTACAATTTAAAAAATCCATACATTCTGACAATAGCTCTCTTAAAGATAGATAACACATAACTCTAGCAAATCCAATTCTAAAAAGCTCAAACAGTCTACACCAGTAAAGGCACAATCAAATCAGGACAGTCCCTTGGGAGGCCATTTATTCCAAAGCCCAAACATTCCACATAAAATGGTGTGGAAAGGTGTTGGTTTACTCTGCTTAAAGAATTGTCTAAAAACCTGTATCTGAGAAACCAGTCCGATGGAGTCGATGAGCACTTAATTACAGCAAACATTCTTTCACCCCTATTCTAAGGAAGTCAACACTTATGTGATCTATTGAACTGAAGCACAGGAAGAACAAGGTGGTTTGATACTCACAGCATGCCATAATCATGCTCATGGCCAGTTAATTCATTACACAGTTCCTAGAATGCAGATGTGGATCACACACAACACATTTTTGCATGATTGAGAAACTTCAGACCAACTCAACATTCCCTCAGGAATCTGAAATCAACTATAAGTGAAGATCAAAAAAGTGCCTAGATCTCACCACTTGAACAACTGAGCTAACAACAATACAGCATAAAAACTCCAAAAAGAAACACATGTTCATTTGATTGGAAGACATGGTGAAAAATATCCTGAGCATTTGCACCACTGCAATACAAGTACAATAATGCACCACTGTATACAAGTAAAAATGGTGGAGAAACTTACCCTTGAAATGCCAACTATTTGCTCATCCGGAAGCAAACTGATGCGCACAAAGCATGATTCAAAGTTGACATCTTCCTTCTCCATGAGATCTTTGCCCTGTAGCAGTGTAACATGCAAGGTGTTGGAGTTCACATTGTATTCCATATTGACTTCCACCTGTCCCACTGTGAACTCATGACCAAAGTTATTTCCAATTGAGGAAATGGAACAGAGAGAATCGGTGGAGATGGACTTTTTCAGTGGCCCGTAGGGAGCCAACTCAAGGTCTTTGTTCATCAGCTCCAAAGTGCCCAACTCATTAATGTTTTCAAAGGTGTCATCCATTTTCAGGCTGGGCTTGCGAACAGGAGAGGTCCTTTCTCCTGCCTTTCGGAAGTTGCTCGCAGCTCTCTACAGACAGTAAGCAGAACAGAAAGCTAGTCAGAGCTCAAGATTAACTTTAAACTATTTACTACTGTAAAACATCAACCTTTTGCAAGCCCCAGAGTTTAATTTCCTCACATGCGCTCGTAGTCCCACCATTGATTAAAATTCTGAACTCAAGTGGGAGCTCTTAATCAAATCTGCTATTATGATGGTGCACAGTGGGGGAATGGATGATTGTAGTTAACTGATGGATTTCTCAATGCCCTTTACCTTTTGCTTGATCTGAGAATATGTGGTCCCATATTTTTGTTCTAGGTATCTGTAGTCGTAGTTTGGAAATGGAGATGGTGCAGGATAGCTGCCCGACCTCCACAGCTTCCACAGGTTTACTCCAGCTATTGCCAGCAGAACAAGTGCTCCAGTAATATAGATACCTATTTCCCATCCAGGTGGACTTCTTATGACTGGAAAAAGAGAGAGAGTTATTATGGCACATTGAAATCTTACAGAAACATTATAGGAATATTTAGTAAGTGGCCTTCTGTGTGGTATCTTCTGTGATGCTGGGATGAAGATGCAAATTAAGGTTCTAACCGTTATTAATTCATAACCACTACCAACCCCACACCAACAGTATACAACATTTCACACAAAACTTCACCACAATGGCTTGACAAAACAGAACACATCTTTCTTTTCAAATCTAAACTATAGTCTCTCTGTACAGCGAACTATCTAAGAAAATATGTGATTGCTTAACATAACAGGATTTTTTGTTTACAGCCATTGAAGTAACTTCCCAAATTTAGGAAAATTACAACACTTTGTTTTTATCATCACTCTGCAACTTTCTGTTCATAAGAAAAATCTTTCATTAAATGATTTCACATTATTCAGTTCTTGTTCAATATTTTTGCTGGCTGATCTGTGAATACTACCCATTACTAGTTTATAAAGAAGCATTTTCTTTCTTTCAGCTTTTCAAAATTGATCTATTTTTCCTCTTACCAGTGAGAATAAAAATGTGTTTATTTCTTCATGGTTTCGGAAAACATTTCCCCCCTACATTTTGACTTTTAGCTTTCAAATATTCTGTTTCTATATGTATCCAAGCAGTCTCCTCACCAGACTTGGACTGCAATAATCTTTTCAATGTAGATAGATGGCCCACTGTTCAATCATGCTATGAATTTCATACTGGCACAGAAAATTGCTCCCACCTGATTATGATAAATGGGAACAGCTTTCAAGCAAACACACATTCTGCAGTTTGCAGTGATCTACAAGAAGTGGCAATAAGATACACACTTGAACCAACTTAATGCACAACTTCTTCACATACCAAGTATTGTTGTGTTTCTAGAAAGACAGGTATTCACACAACTGCTTCCAAGGGACCTGAAGGCCCATATACTTTCACTAGCTACTTCCCAACAGAGAAATTCATTTGAAAAACCTCTAGTAACCAGCTGAGACAATAATATATGGTTCTTTGCTTGGAAACAGATGAATCAATGGTCAGGCGTTAATACTGAGCAACAACACGTCTACATTCCCTAGCCTGGTGCCTTCCAAATTTCAACTACAACACCCATCATCCTTGACTATGCTGGTTGGGGCTGTTGTAGTCCAAAACATCTGGAGGACATTAGACTGGGGGTAGGCCACCAATTATGCTCCTCAAGCATCTTCTTTCCACAGACCTTAACTAGAGAACTTACTCTGTGTGCACCTGGTAGTATTGAGCTTCTCATAAATCTCTCACCATCTCACCTAGCTTGGCCCTTAGAATAAGTTCTTATGTTAGAAAGCTACTGGATTGAAGGTCAGGGCTTCATCAAATGATACATGTGAGATGCAGCCCTCAGTATTTGTCTGGATATCCTCCTGTCTCTGGGGCTGTAAGAGTTTTCTGGATGTTCTGTCCAGAAAATGTCTAAATGGAAGGCACATCACATTATTATTGTTTGAGCAGGGAGACTTTTACCAAGACTGACATCTCCAAACAAAACCCTAGCAGAGTTTGTTCAGCATTCAAGATACTCACCACTGAGTTGGTGCTCAGCAACGTTATTATCCATGGTGACTATCCTGAGTAAGGGCAGTTACCTAGAAGAATACACAAACAGTGAGGAAATCAAGACAATGCTGTATAACACTGAGAGTACCTCAAGACCAGATTTATTCTATAACTAATTAATGAAAAGCTAATACAAACCCTTTCTTCTGTTTCCACAATGATTGGCACAACGATTGGGAAGGGATCCTGCTGTTTTTAGTCATTTTTTGTTCTTTAGTCTGCTCTCTTGCATTTATTTTAGCTTTACTGGATTGTATTGGGTGCTTTCATTACTTTTATTGTATGCAGTCTAAAAACTTTGGTGTACAGCATCTAATACATGTATGTAGTATTATGACTACTGATGCTACTAATAGCAGAAATGACATTACACACTTTGCTACACATATAAAATATTCCTTTGCATTCTGTCATGGGAAGCCCAATCCTCTTAGGCTGCTTTGGCTACAGAGGTGCTACAACTGCTGCAGCATCCTGTGTCCCTGTGAAGTGGAGCAGTGCCTTTCTCTGCTCCTGTATTACTGGGCCAATGGGCTTGTTGGCCCAATGCTCCAATGGCTCTAACAGCAGCAGGCCTGCCCATATTGCTGAAGAGGCCCCTTAGCCCTGTAGTCCCTGGAACTAGACCATGCTAGTGTAGGAGAGTTGATGGCTACTGCTAGGCCAGCGTCAGGCCAAAAGGGTTTCACTGCTTGAGGTCCGGGACCAAGAGTCCCAGAACCTAAATTCCAATGCCATTGCATAATAAAGCAAAGGATCCAGTCATCATGGTTTTAAGAGTACATTTATATGGCAGCTTCCCCTCCACTCTGTGTTTTCATATTTCTGCATTAAGCTTTGCATTTCATTCTGTTTCACCCAAGAATCTTCAGATCAAATTAGTCACAATTCAGTCCCATTTAAATCAACAGAACTTTACACACTCATTGGCTAATTTTATGGGACAGAAATGTCACTAACTTACTCTGGATCTAAACCACTGTGGCATGGCTGCCACCTAATTTCCAAACAGGGGCACTGTGCCTTTAACTGTTGTGTGATAGGCAGCTCAACAAATGCTACTTTCCCCAACATGAAAAGGATGACACGTGGGATTTTAAAAAATAATAATCTGTCGTGCAGTTGTTATATGCATATGGAAAGCAAAAAGCTGAGAACCCTGTTGGTTAATTTTCTTTTTGGTTAATCTGCATCTTAAAATAATAATAATAATTTTATTATTTATTCCCCGCCCATTTGGGTGGGTTTTCCCAGCCACTCTGGGAGGCTTACAGCATATTTAAAAACAAAATAAAAACATCAAGCATTAAAAACCTCCTGATACAGGGCTGCCTTCAGATGTCTTCTAAAATTTGTGTAATTCTCTATCTCCTTGAAATCTGAAGGGAGGGCATTCCACAGGGAGGGCGCTACTACTGAGAAGGCCTTCTGCCTGGTTCCCTGTAACTTCACTTCTTGCAGTGAGGAAACCAGCAGAAGACCCTTGGAGGAGGAGTTTGGTGTCTTGGCTGGACGATGGGGATGGAGAAATCCTCTGTTTAGGCCTGCTGCAATATATCACCATTGTGGTGCAGTTGTTCCTGAGAGCTTCCCTTCCCCAAAGGCTTCCTTTACACAGTTAGCCTCATGTTAACCAGCTCCATGCAGTTCAGGCTGATGGTAACCAAATATATTAGCATGAGTAGAATTTTATCTAAAATATGGGGATAACAATACAGTCTCTTTCTGCTGGGCTGTTGTAAGCAAAATTAGCAGCCAACAACCTAATAAGAAGAGGAAAAACCACCGTGTATGTTGTTTTAGTTTATTGTTTTTGATACGGATACCAGGTTACTTTGGTGGATGAAGCAGGGACATGGTTTTGATCACCCACCCAGATTTTCTTTGGGGGGGGGGAGGGGGAGACTAGCTGCCACAATCAGCCAATAACACCAAGGCATCATCCATCTGGCTGAGTTCCCAATGGCATATGAATTAGGCCTTGGAGTTTGCATTGTAAACTCTTTCAATAACCAGCAGTGTCCCAATGGTCTGCAAGAGAAAACAAGTTTACAGTCTCAGCCAGTGTGCTCAATGTACACTTATGCAAGAAGAGATTCTTCTCTGTCTTTTGGCACTGCATGAGTCACCAGAGCATGGTGTTTTGTGGAAATGCGTTATTAAAACCTGCTTCTCAAGTACATCACCCCGGATTAGAGGTCACTGATTGCTGGAACCTTGCAAAATTACTACACTACAACCTGCCAGTGGAGGAGGTCTGATTTATCTTTCATTCCTGAAGGCTCTTTCTTTGCTTGCTGGGGAGGAATTACTGCATTGTTCCATTCCGTGTCCAGCTGATGAATGGCTCTGTAAGGGTTTGCTTGAGAATTTCCTGCTTACCCTCTATCCATCTGAGCAGGGAATGACCCCATGTTTTTCATCGAGAACCTCCATCAAGATTTTTCATTACAACTCCTAGTGGGTAAGCTGAATATTCAGATGCATGAGGAGCAGGTTGTCCTACAAAGTCTCCCCTAACTCAGCATCTCACAGTCTTTTGAAAAAGACCCCGCAATGCAGAAAAGGTGGATTCATGTTTAGCAGTATTTGAGAATCCCCAGATACCGATGAATACCTTAATTTTAAAGCCTATGTCATGGAGTGGCTGGATGCACAGGATTGGTGGGAGGCACCAGCTGGGGAGCCCCCAAAGGAAGACTGCTCAGAGCCAGGGGATTGGTGGTGGGACGGCAGTGAGTGGTCGGAGGGACAAGAGTGAGAAAGAACAGATTGGGAAGAGGAAGGGTAATACGCAGGGGAGGTAAGAGTGTTTAGTGAGCAGGAAGAGTCTGTTTCAGACTCTGAGGCAGAAAAGGGGGCTGGAGAGGTGTGGGGCCAGGAGACAAGAGAAGCAGGATGATGAAGCTGGGTAGTCTCCCTCTCCTGAAAGTCTCCCCCTCCAGCTGCACCCAGTGTTAGGATATTCTGTTCCACCTTAAGGAACTGGCATGACTGTTGTGTGTCACATGCCTGTTTACACTCCAGCACAGCTTGATGGGAACTTCCGTTTGTTTATAACTTTTGCTTATGTGCTGTTTGCTTGGACACGAAAGAGAGAAGACATGTTTTCCTTTTGTCCTGATGTATGCTGAATAAACTGCTTGTAAATATGCTCACAATTGCCCCAATTCCTTGGCTACATCCGAACACCCAGCTCTCCTCCCCCTTGGTCTCCTTGGGCATGCAGGGAAATTAAGCAGGTTGAACAGAAATCAGTTTTGTGCAGGCACAGTTTGAGACTGCTTGGGAAAGACCCAGCAGAGAAGTAGCCTTAGTGTGCACTAGGAAGGCGGGGACCTTTAGTCCTCACACCTGCCTCATCAGGGCAAGACCTGCAGAGAAAGGTTGCTGGGACCACTAGGCTGCAGTGCTTCTGTTTCACTTATATTCTGCATGGGCCATATTATCTCTTCCAGGCTCTTCACGCTTCCTCAAGAGCAGACAGTATTATTATACTATATTATATTAGTATACTTTCTGGCTTAGAGCACAGTGCTCTGGCAATTTCCTCTCTCTTCTTTCCTGTCTGCTGCACTCCAGTGGTAAAAGGGCACTGTGGAATATGAAGCCCCTGGTATGGGAGGAGGGAGTCCCACAAGGACAATCTGGCTCAAGGGGTACTGTGTGGGGGTCTCAGTTCAGGGGTCCCTGGCTTCATGTCAGGCCTTGTGTATGGGGGTCCAGCACTTCCATGGCTTGCACCATTAGGCCTCTTGATCTGGCTGGCTCCTCTGTCTTTGGGTCAGAGTCCTGGTGGTTGTTTGAGATTTGGAAGGCTATTGGAAAAGTTTACAACATTGTCTACCGTCTGTCTGTAGCTCTCTGCTTTTTGTTACTTATGGTTTTACTGAATTGCTGTGTGCCCAGTGATATCTTGGGAAGAATCAGGCTTGGATGCCATCCATCACAGTAGATTCTGAGGACGTACTTAAGCAAAAATATATTCCAAAGTTTTCATCATATTAACTTTACTATTGCCTGCAATTTGTACATCAGCTTTATTTGATGCATTCCATTCACAGATGGAACTCATTTACATTATATTGGACTATTTATTATTTCCGTCACATACCGTTTTCATGGATTGTTTATTATTTCTGTTATAGACAAGCTTCATGTTGGTTGTTTAAATTTGTTGAGGCTTAGTTTTGTGATGTGTTGTATTTTCATTAATGCATGGGTCTTTTATGGCTTATTGGCTGCAACTCATATCATATTGTATGATATAATATAATATCACAGGTTTGAGCCCACTGTTGTATTTTTGTTTTATCACCTATTTATCATATTTGTCACTGATTGGTCTGTGATTTGGTCATTTTGCTTGAGGTTTGGATCATGATATCAAGTTGTTGAACTAAGAAAATTGACAGCAGCTTGAATAAAGGATACTTCATGTACAAAACCTGTACCAAAAGGGAAAAGGCATAATGGTTTAACACAGAACAGTGGGGTTATAATAAGGAAGGAAGTGAAGATACATTGGGGCAGTTTATATTAGTCCTCACCCAATTTTTTTTTAAAGTAATCAAACTCAAAATGTACATGTGCTTACAACTCAAAAAGCATTGGGCCACATTTAGAAACCATAATCACCTACATTTTTTGCCACAAAACTTTTCATCCTCAGAGTTGTCATAATACAAATTAATGTATTTTTCTGTGTATAAGACTTAAGTTTTCCCCCTAAAAAATAATGTCAAAAATTAGGGGGCGTCTTATACACGGATACATCTCCCCCCTTTTCTTAAATCTGAGTCCCCCAAAATAGGGGGCGTCTTATACATGGGGGCGTCTTATAGACGGAAAAATATGGTACATTACATTGATTCTGCTACAGAATAATATAGAAGTACTGTACTAGTCAAATGGGTTACAATGGGCTGACAAACAAAAGCCAGATTAAGCACACAACAGCAACCTTCACAACACAGTGAGAAAGCAGGTACTTCTCCTTTCACACAATTAAAGAGGGAGGGTGTATTCT